CCGGCGCCAGCACAATGGGTCCTTTTTCCGGCCGGCACTGGGGGAGATGGACTCGGAAGTGCTCCCAAGGAAAAGGACGGTTTATTAATAGCTCCTGGCTTCTCCAAGCCACCCTATCAGCTCCCATCCCCATATCCTGCTCCTTGCTCCGTGCTTGCAGTGCTCCCCAGCTGGGAGAGCAGCCTGGGACCCGGACGTGACCAGTCCAGCTGAACACGTGTGAGCCATGTCAGGACGTGGCTGTCCCACCCTGTCCCAGGGCTGCACCTGCTCCGGGCCGTGGGGCTCCTGTACCCCCAGGATGTCGAGTGACAGCCCTGGGCAGAGGGCTCCTTCTCCCCGTGCCCTGGCAGTGGCTCTCAGCTGGATAAGGTTCTCCCAGGCGTGCCCCAGCTGTCCTTGTCCATCCGCCCTGCACGCAGCTCCCGAGGCAGGGAGCAAGGGAAAGGCTGCACGGCTCCACAGCCTTCCCTGCCACCCCTGTGCACCACAAACCAGTGCTCAAAGCCAGTCCTGGAGCCCTGGGGTGCTGCTTCTGTTTTCTGTCAGTAGCACCATCACCAGGGCAGGGTGCTGAGCTCTCTGCATTGGGCTGGGTGCCCCTTGCCAGCTCAGCTCCTTTTTGGGGCTTTGCCACTGCTCTGCATCCGCTGATCCCCCGGCACAGCTGCTCCAAAAATCGCAGTGCTCCGTGACAGAAATCCAGATGTCACCTTCCTTTCCCCCTCCCTCCCACCTTCCTTCCCCCTTTCCGCTGCTCCTGTCCTTCCTTCCTCCACCCTCCCGGCTCCTCCTCGCAGCTCCCGATCCGGCCCCTCCTGAACAAAGGCCCCGTAGCCATGGTTAATAATCCCCACAGAAAGGCCCTGCACAAGAGGAGAGGAAGGAGAGGGGAGACACAAAGGAGCCGCTGGGAGCCAAGCCGAGGAAGGGGGTTGGAAGGAGGCGTTTTCCTGAGCTGGAGGACACAGCCTCGAAGAGAGCTCCTAGAGGCAGAGGTGGGACAGGGGTACCCCAAAGTGATCTCATGGCACCCAGGGAGCAGAGAGCCAAAGGCTGGACAACACAGGAGGATTGCCAGAGTGCAAAGCCTTGTGTGAGCTCCAGAGCCCCCCAAAATACAGCAGCAGGGACTGGCAGAAGGTGCCCCGAGGGTGAGGGGAGCAGTGGCTCTTGGTGTTGTGTGAAGAGGTGCAGGCCTGGGTGAACACAGCCAGAGGCTTCCACCCTGCACAGCTGCCCTCCATCCAGCCTGGAGACCTGCAGGGAGCTGGGCCAGCCCCCAGCCCATGGCCATCAGAACCGGGCCAGCCCCCAGCCCATGGGCACCGGTACTGGTGGGGTTCACTGGGGGCAGCTGGCACAGAGCACCCCAAGCACCCCCCAGAGCCCACTCCAGCTCCTCTGGGCCCCTCTGGGCCCCTCTGGGCTTGGCTTCAGGGCTTGGGGAAGGCACAGAGCCCCCGCCCCACCTGGGACACGCCGAGCTGCTTGTCAGGACAGGCACAGGCACAGCCCACGCTGGGCCAGCTCCCTCTGGCAGCATCCCAAGGCCCCCGTATCAGCAGGGATCTGTCTGGGAGTGCAGGAAAGGGTGGAAGGGGCTGTGGTGTGTGCTGGGATGCTCAGCCCCAGGCCTGGCTCTGTGCTGGCCATCGCTCCCCTCTAGCTGCAGAGAGCCAGGCCCAGCAGGAGCCAGAGGAGGGAGGCAAATGCAATTGCCACACTTCCAGATTATTCCTGCAACCTGCGATGCTCAGATAACACCGGGAAATCAGCCTTGCCCTGGGCAGGGTCCTGTGGATCCCAGGTTTCCAGCAGCTGTGCCAGGGACTGGCAAAGCCCCACCACAGCCAGGGGCAGAACTGCCTGCCCAGGCACAGCCTCATCTGAGAGGTGGCAGGAGGGATGGAGGAGGAGAGTGCTGGGAGCTGCTGGGGCCCAGGCACCGATATTCCCTCCACTGCCAGGGAGGGAGAGCTGTGGGAGATGCTCTGTGCCTCAGGGGGAGCCAGACCTCTGCTCCCTGCCTTTCCCACCCCAGCTGTGTGCGTGGGACTGCCACACGGGAGCCTCATCCACGGTTTGTGCGCATCGCTGTGAGTGGAGACTGCAGCCAAATCCATTAAGCAAGCAGATAAACAAGAAGGCGTGGGATCAGGCAGCAGGGAGGGAAGATGAAGGTGGCCAGCCTGCCACGCTCCCCACGCAGAGTCCCCGAGCCCGCCGGGTGCCACACACAGCGTGGCAGGGTGATTTCATGCCATCTGTTCATGCCTTGCTTTCAAATCCTACCCCTCTTCCCCAGAACCATCCATTTCAGGGGGGAAAATAAGCACTTTGAATTTTTTTCAAAGTTAAGCAGGCTGAAGCCCGACCAGTTGGAGGCAGAGCCATGCAGTGAGAGCAGGGGGCTGTCTGAGGGTGGCATGCTCCCCAGCCTGTTTTCCCCAGGGATTGGCATTGCCCTTTCCAACTGCTGGGAATTTTCTGCAGAGGTTTTCTTAGCAACATTCTGCTTTATTTTTAACGCAGAGTAAAAGTTAGCCCCAGAACAAAATGCACCAGGGGCGTGTCAGCCGAGTTCTCCTGCTTTGTTTGTTTGACTTTGGTGGATGCTTTCCCGTGGGCCTCCTTCTCTCTCGGGGTGCATTTGTGGGGCGTTTTGTGCCAAGCGGAACATCCCTTTCCCTGCTCCAAGGAGAGCAGAGCCTGAGGCTCCTCCGGTGCTGTGTCCTGCCCTTTGGAGGGAGAGGAAGAGTGAGAACATTGTCAGGGAGTCCTTGAGCCGGGGGAAGCCACTCAGGGTGGATTTCTCCACCACACACAGGGAGCTCCTGCCCTGAGGTGTGAGAGCATCCCAAAACTGCGGCTGTGGGGTCGGAGAGCAGCTCCTGAGCATCCTGTGGATGAAGGCACGGCTCCCTTGCACTTGTTCTTCCCAGCAAAGGGAGGAGGCCTCCCCTGTCCAGCAGCAGCACGAGGGCTCTGAGCCTTATCGCTGCCCAGCATTGCCATTTTAAGCAACTGATCTCCTGGGGAAAAAACTTAATCATTTCCGATGAATCACTGAGTGTATTTGGCTGGGAAAGTCTTGTGGGGGAGTGTTGGTCAGGCATGCGGAGGAGGAGGAGGAGGAGGAGGTGGAGGAGGGCATGGGAAGGGCCCCGGCATGGCACCAGCGGGGGAGCAGCGCTGGGGCTGGGGGCCAGCACAGGGAGAGGTGCTGGGACATTCCCAGGAGGAATGCTGTGCCTCTGGGGAACCTGCAGCCCAGCCCCTGAGTGGCTCAGGGAGGGTCGGAGGGGTGCAGCCCTTGCAGCTAGGGGACAGGAATGGTGCAGGAAAAGCAAGTGGAGGAGAGAAAAGGATGTGCAGAAGTTCAGAGTCTCTGAGCTGAGAGCGGGAGGAGGGCACTGTCACAGCTCCTGGGAGTTTGGGCAGCTCCTGGGTCTGTCCTCGTGTGTGATGAACCTGAATCTGTGACTTTTGGGTGAATGGGGGAACGAAACGGCTTTGAAGGAGAAGAAAACCTTCGTCCCCCAACAGCCCCTCTGGCTCGGAGGGAAACTGAGGCACGTAGCCAGGCTGTGCCAGGGCAGGGACACTGGGGCCGGCTGTCCTGCGTGGCTGGCTACGGGCAACTCGCAGCACCTGGCGGGGTTTGTTGTGCTCCTCCCGGCTCTGCCCCGCGCTGCCGGAGGGGCCGGGCTGTGTCGGGCTGGGTGATTACCCCTGGATAATGGGAGCCTTGTGCAGCCCCGCCAGCCCCCCCGCCCCCGGGCCGGCCCCCGGCCAGGCTGCTGCCCCGGCCACCGCAGGGAGCAGCTTCTCCACAGCCGCCCCATTCAACAACAGCTGCGCGGGGGCTCGGCCGCCCATCGCTGCGATGCCCTGGGGCCCCTCCTCGGGGACAGGACGAGGGACAGGGGGACACGGAGGCTCGGCGGGGGCTTGGGTGCCAACCCTGCAGACCCCGGTGACCTGCCTGGGACACGACCCTGCTCCGCCTCGCAGCCCAAACCGCCCACAGGTGTCTGTCGGAGCCCAGACAATGACAAACAGTGTTTTGCCTCCCTGTTTTGAGTCTGTTCTTGTTTGGCGTGGGTTCAAAGGTGACCTAGCAGCTGCGGCTGGGTTTTGGGGCAGAGCGGGGCTGAGCAAGGCAGCAGGTCACTTCTGATTATCGCCACTGCTACCTGCACATTGGACTCTCAGGGACTGTCGCCGGCATTCCTCAAACACTCTTGAAAAACACATCCCACGCTTCAGCCAGCTTCTCTGGGTCTGTAAGCGATTCCACCTCCAGCGCCCGGCTGTCTGCCTGGCTCAGCCCGTGCACGCCCGGACAGGCAGGAGCGGGCAGGTCTGCGAGCCCCTCCGGCACAGCTGTGAACGGCCCGAGCGCGGCGGGGCCGTGCTGGGGACCGGACCGGACCGGACCGAACCGAGCGCTGCCGTGCGGGACCGGACACGGCGCTGCGGGGCTGGGCGGAGACGGCGCCCACCCGGCTGCTGCTGGGGGTGATAAGCGGCTGCGGGCGGTGGGCAGGCACCACGCCTTCCTCCTCCTCCTCCTCCTCCTCTCCTCTCCTCCTCCTCCTCCGCCTGACGTCAGCCCGCGGCCCCGCTCAGTCTCGGGCGGCCGGCGGCGGGCATGGCTGGGGGGCGGCGGCCGGCGGGGCTCGCCCTGGGCTGGGGCTGCTGCCTGCTGCTGTGCTGCGGTGAGTGGCTGCGGGAAGGGCTGGGCTGTGCGGGGCCGGGGCCGGGTGGTGCGGAGCCGGTGCGGGGCGGGCGGACGCGCGCACCTGCGGAGCGCTCCGGGGTCCCGCGGAGCCGCGGCAGGGATGTCCCTCACCCTCGGGGGGACACGGGGCTGCAGCGGCGGTGCGGGGCTGGATTTTGTCGCTGTGCAGCTCCCCGAGGTGGCAGCCGGAGGGGTGTCCCCGCAGAGCCGCGGCGGGGCCGGCAGCCGGGAGCGCTGCGCCCCTCGGGCGGTGCCTGGCGCGGCGCCGGGAATGCTCGGATCGCGGGGTCGGGGCAGCCCAGGTGGGATCGGCCCTTCCCAGCCTGGGTTCCCGCCCGGATGGCCCCGCGATCCGCGGCGGGGCGGGTCCGCTCTGGGTGCCCTGTCCCGCTCTCGGGGCCTCTCCGCAGCCCCCCCAGGGCAGGGCAGGTTGAGGGGTGACCCACGTGCGTTCAGCGCGCACCGGGGTGATCTGGTTGTTGTTAGGAAGCATCCACCCCTTTCCTTCTAAGGAGTTTTCCCCTGAGCGCTGTGTTTCTCTTGGCTTTTTTTTCGCGCTTTCTTTTTTTATCCACTTTCCAGTCCATTTTCACCCTCGGGGGGTGGCTGCGCTTCCTGCCCTGCCCCGCTCCCCGCATCCCGCCCTCCCCTCGCCGGGGGCCCGGGAGCGGTCCCGGTGCGCTGGCTGGTCCCTGCCCCGCTGAGCTGCGGAGGTGGCCCCGGCGCTGGGAACCTGCCCAGGCCGAGGTGTTGGAGCCAAAGTCAGGCTCAGATCGGAGTCTAGAGCAGGCTGCTCCCACCCCCGTCCCGTGCCGGGATCCCCTTCCCACAGCACATGTACCGAGCCAGGAGTCTCTCAATGGTTGGCGGCGTCGGTGTATTTGGAAGCCCAGCCACGTGAAAGGCTTGATGCTTCCCAGAAGCACAAGGGGCCACGGCCAAGACATTCCCAGCCAGGGCTGCTGGAACGGGGGGCTGAGCCCACCCCGGGGCTGCCTGAGCCACCCCATCCCTCTGTGCACCGCGGTCTGGCTGTTAGAGAGGTGTCTGGATGTTGTCACCGAGCTGCAGGGTGGGGTTGAGAGCTTTGCCTCTCCAGGTGCACATGACGGGGTCCTGACAGGGTGGTAGGGTTATTTTGGTGCTGCTGTAGCAGAGCCCTGGCTCTGTCCCCATCCCGAGCAGGATGCCAGCTGGGCAGAGGTGTTGGGTACTGCTGGTGGTGCTGCTTCCTGTGGGGCTGGGACTCTGCAGCCTCTTTCTTGTCTCTGTGAGGAATTCAGGGTGCTGTTCCGTGCGAGATGGGGCACCCCGGCTCGGGGATCCGTTCAGCTGCTGCGGAATAGCAGGGTAGCATGTGTGGCTGTGGGATCTGGCCGCAGCTGGTTTCCCTGCAAGGGGAACACAAACCCACGGAAACCTCAGGCATCCCACGTGCGGCTCCAGACCCCTGTGGTGCCTCTCTTCTTGCTCCGGGCCGGGGGCTCCGGGCCGGGGGCTCTGCCGCCAACGCAGCCGCACTTCTCGCTGTCTCCCCGCACACCTCGGCTCTGCAGGAGGCTGGCGAGGGACTGTGCTGCTCCCCACCCCCTTCCCCAGCTCTAAAAGCAAATCTTTGTTCTTGTGGAGCTCTGGCTGCCGGCCGGCTGTCCGCCAGCCAGATGGAAAAGGCACGGGGGCTCTCCTTCCTTCCCTGCTCGCTCCCTGCAGACGCCCTCTCCAGATCTCGAGGTCTCCGGCTGGAGCTGTGCCAGGCACTTGGGGCGGATGGAGCTGGGTGCTGGAGCTGGGCTGCTCCACGCGTGGCTGATGGATCTCCCCAGGTCCCATCACCAAACCTGCAGCTGCGCTGGGCCCAAGGGAGGATCGCCAAGTCCCCGGAGCCTGCTGTGCCAGGCTGGCTGTGCCCAGTGCCTCTTTAGCCTGCCCACGCACATAGCAAAAGGTCTTGGAGCTGTGGAAGCGAGCCTTGTGTCCACAGGGTTGTGGGGGACCTTGTGAGTGTCCCCTTGTGTCCCTCTTCCAGCCTGTCCCGGATGAAGTGGGGAGCAGTGAGCCCTTGCTCCAGGCAGGGTGGGGGCCGCAGCGACCCTGTCAGCCTCCTCAAGGGCAGTGGATGGCTGGGAGGGTTGTGATCCTCATGCCAGCCCCGGATGCCAGCCATTCTCCAGCTCTGAGCTCATGGTTTCGGTTGCTCCGCTGCCTGGTTGAGGGCTCTCATGCCGAGCGGGTCAGGGGGAGGGCCAGCTGCTCTCCCAGGGGCTGGCTCTGCCTGGGGCCCATGCCGAAGGTCTGAAAATGATGGAGAGGCAACGTCTGGCCTGGCTGCCTGCAGTCCGGAGTGCCAGGGCTCAGGCGAGGCTGTGCGGGGTCAGAGGGACACACCCCAGCCCCAGGCTTGCCCAGTTGTGCAGGTGCCCTCCTGCAGCAGGCAGCCAAGTTGTGGCCGCGCAGGTTGGGCAGCTGCCTCCTGTGCAGTTATCTTTTCCTTTGTATTTCAGCCAGTTTCCTGTCCCCCACTGGTGCTTATCTCTGGGTCTTTCACCTGTTTTTCCAGCACCTTCTTTGCTGTGCCGTGATTTGCTCATCCCTCTTTGCCTGGTGCCAACTGTAATCACTGACGGGATGGGCGAGGGCCAAAACGTGTGTTTGTGTCTGAGGTGGCTTGTCCTGCGTGTCGGGGCCTTTGCTGTGGCAGAAGGGCCCCTGGCTGCATTTTGGCTTTGTGCCACCCCATACCCACTGCAAACAAAGAGCATTTTGTGGGCACGGTGCTGCCCTTTGAAGTCGCTCGGCGGTGGCTGTTATGGAGCGGGTGCTATCAAGGGAGATGTTGACACAGCTGCTTCCTCCAAGCCTCTGGTCCCCAGCTCCCATACCTGGGCTGGCTTTGTTGCTTGGGGACAGGCTGTTGTCCCCTCTGCAGGGCCGTGTGCCAGCCCAGGGCATGCAGACCCCTCTTTGCTTGGTGGCAGTGGCGCTCCCAGCCTTGCTGTGATGCCGCCCTTGTTCTCTGCTCCACCCAGCTGGGGCTGCTCTGCTCCCAATCCCTTGGGAAGCTGCTCCGTGCCCTGTCCTGGATCAATAGCCATTACCTTTCCCAGCCTCTCTGGAGCAGGGCCAGCAGCTCCATTACTGCTGCGGGCGGCTGGGCTGGGAGGGAAGGTGGGGTGCAGGGATGGGCCAGCTCCGCTCACAGGGGTGCCGTGGGTGGGCAGAGCTGGGCAGGGAGCGGAGCAGCAGCGAGGGGAAGCCTTGGGAATGCTGCAGGGATGGATGCTTTGACTGCCGGGGTGGCAGGGACCTGAGAGTCCTGGCTGTGCCAGGGCAGTGGTGGCTGGGGATGTGCTGCCTCCCAACGGTGTCCTGGGGACACAGCTGGTGGGGGCACAACATGTTATGTCCTGTCTTTGGGAGCAGGATTGCTGGCCTGAGCCCATGGGCTCTCTGTGGATGCTGAAGGCAGAGTGGCAGTGGGGTCCTGGCTGTCACTCCTGCTGGGCTGGGACACAGTGTGTAGAGCACAAGACACGGCTCTGCCCCATAGTTTTTGGGGGATGGAGATGGGGACAGGCTATGCTTGGGCAGCCCATTATTCCCCATTCTTCCTGCCCCTAACAGCAGATTCTGTCCCACAGCTGCAGCCAGCAAGCTGGAGATCTCCATGCCAGCCGTGGTGGAAGTGGAGGTCGGGGGCACAGCCAGGATCGAGTGCAACTTCTACACCCCTGAAAATGCTTCCTACACCTACATCGACTGGTTCTACGTGAGTGCTGGCCTGGGAGAGCAGCTCTGGCTGGTGGGCTGGGGTGGCAACCAGCCCAGGGCTTCCTGCCGGGCTCCCCAGCCCAGCCTTGCCCCTCACCTTGCAGATAGACCGCAGCAACAAGCAGGTGAGGCTGTTCCACATCACAGCCAGCAAGACCGTGGAGGACAACACGGACTACAAGAACCGGGTGTTACTGGGGCAGGACAAGGCCCTGTCCATCAGTGCAGTGACAGTGCAGGACGCCAGGACCTTCGTGTGCCAGGTTGGAGCTGGCAGCTACGGTGTGGGCGAGAACAGCACTGAGCTCAGCGTCTACAGTGAGTGACACAGGAGGGCAGCACAGCTGGGCAGCTGCTCTGCAGGGCTGGCAGGGATCCCATCCCATCCCATCCCATCCCATCCCATCCCATCCCATCCCATCCCATCCCATCCCATCCCATCCCATCCCATCCCATCCCATCCCATCCCATCTAATATGTGTGGGGTGGCTTCTCTTTCCAGAGGTCCCCAATAACCCTGAGATCAAGCCCAGCTCAGGAGGCATCTCTGTGCACAGCCCTGAAATCCCAGAGGTGAGGAGAGGCTTCACACAGGGGAGGGAGAGGCTCCCTGCTAAGCCTAACCTGTGCTCATGGCTGTCTCTGCCACCACAGATTGCCAAGTGTGAGAGCAAAAACAGCTTCCCACTTCCCAACATCACATGGCACAAGAACGGGGAGGAGCTGCACGACCAGGAGAACCGTGAGTTGGGTGGGGATGGACAACCAGCTCGGGAGAGGGAGCTGGCACCCAGAGAGCCCAAGGGAGCCGTGGTGTGTGGCTGTGTCCCCTGCAGAGGTGATGATCAAACCGACAGTGACACGCGAGTCGAGCGGGCTGTACACGGTGAGCAGCACGCTGTACGCGCCCGTCACCCGCGACGACCGCCTGTCCCAGTACCACTGCACCGTGCACTACTGGCTGCAGGGACAGATCCATTCCCTGGAGTCACAGAAGGTCAAGGTCAACATCTTCTGTGAGTCTGGGGCCAGGGGGGCCGTGCTGGTGCCCTGCAGTGGGGCTGGGCACTGACTCTGCCCATCCCTGCCCCCAGACCCTGTTGAGACCCTGAAGCTGCGTGTGTCGCCATCTTCGGCGCTGGTGAAGGAAGGGGACAATGTGACACTGGTCTGTGAGGCCGACGGGAATCCACCGCCCATCTTCAGCTTCTTTAAGAAAAACGTGAGGCTGGAGGGGACCGGGGCACCTCTCCCTTGGCAAACATCTCCTGGTTGCTCCTTGTCCCTTGCCCAGGGGTTCCTGGGGAGGGGGGTGCAGTGGCTGGGTGGGAGGGGGCCTGTGTGGGGCTAAGGATTCCTTTGTGCCCACTGTCTGCAGCTGGATGAGTGGCAGGATCTGTCATCGCTGGCAGAGCCCAACAGCGGGGTCCTGAACCTGCCCGAAGTGAACAAGAGCAGCAGTGGCACATACAAGTGCCAGTCCCTGGACCTGGATGATATGACAGAGAAAGAGGAGGCTGTGGATCTTGTTGTGAACTGTAAGAGGGAGGGGACTGGACCCTGTTGACCTCATGGTGGGTGCTTTGTCTCTCCTGCTCACTCTGCCCTGGTCTCCATCCCTCTCCTAGACATTGAGGGGGTCCATGTGAAGATGGAGCCGTCCTCAACTGTTCGTGAAGGGGAGAGTGTGAAGCTGATCTGTGATGCCCACAGCCCCGTAAGCCTGCGGTACCAGTGGAGGGATGAGAAGGTGAGTAGGGATCCCAGTTCCGTCATGCTCAGGCTCAGCATGGGCTTTGCAGCAAATTAGGCAGAGTCAGGATCTTGCTCCATCTCTCCTGAGAGGTCAGGGGAAGGATTCACTTTTTCATGGACCTGCATTGTCCACCCCAATATTGTCACCTCCTGGCCGGTACTGCAGGGAGGTCCTGTGCTTGCAGATTTTCACTGTGCATGAGAGGTCTGAACCCCTCTGGGACGTGGGCACAGAGGTTCATTGCTGTGGATGTTCCTTCCCAACAGGGCAAGAAGCTGGTGGAAGGGAGTCAGCTCTTCCTGAACAACCTCACCTTCGAAACCTCCAACACCTTCAGCTGCAAGGTGATGGCCCCGAGCGTGCCAGGGCTGGAGCAGAGCAAGAAAGTGTCTGTGGCTGTCGAGGGTAAGAGCTGGCCTGTCTGCAGAGTGACCCCTGCCTGCCCAGCACCCATTCCCTGAGAGCTGTGGGTGCAGAGTGACCCCTGCCCCTCAGGAGCTGTGGGTGCTGATGTCCCCTGCCCACAGGGAAGCCTCGGATCGTGGCCATCAGCTCCCCGCTGTACGTGCGCCAGGACGAGGTTGTCAACCTGACCTGCAAGGCCATCGCCTTCCCCCGGCCCACTGTCCACTGGAGCATCAATGGCACGGTGAGAGCTGGGAGGGGCCAGGCTGGGATGTCTGAGGGGCTGCCCAGGCACTGAATCCTGCTCTGCCTGCCCTGCCCAGGCTCACGAGTACATGGACAACCAGCACATCGCCAGCAACCTGACGGTGAGGGTGAGCCACGACCTGCTGCAGGCAGGAGCCATGTGCCGGGTGTCCAACAAGCTGGGTGTCAGTGAGAAGCACATCCAGCTGGTGGGTGAGTGTCAGGCACTGCTTTCTGTCCTAGGGGTCCCCAGCAGTGTCAGTCCCCCCGTGCTGTGCTGCCATGGGGTGGCTGAGCTGCTCCCTGCCTGCTCTTCCAGATGATTCCATCAGGAAAGACCATTCTGCTGCTGGTGTCCATCAGGACACAGGCTCACCTCTAGCCTGGGGAGGGAGCTCAGCTGCTGCCTCTGCACTACTTTTCTCCCTGCCAAGCCAGGAGGGAGGCAGAGGCTCGGTCCCCAGTGGTCTCTGCTTGTCCTCAGCAAAGCCACCAAGTGCAGCTTCTTGCAGCCCAAACCTGCTGGGCAAGTAAGCAGAGGGATGGCCTGGTGCCTTGCAGGAATTCCTGTTATCCACCTTCCTGTGGCACATGGGGCGTGGCAGCCCAGAGCAGAATTTCTGTGTTCCTACAGAAGCTGCCCCAAAGCAGCATTTCTGTACTGAAATCTGCACCCTGCAGGCAGCTGGGGAAGCACTGGAGCTTTTCTGGGAGAAGGGGCCCTTTCCTAACACAGAAGGGAAACTGGAGGGGGTCACAGTGAGACAGGCATTAATTTCTTCCTCTCCCTGTTGTGTTTAGATCAAAAGTCAACAGCAGAGAGCCAAGGGGTGATCATCGTGGCCATCATCGTGGCCATCCTCGTGGTGGCTGTGCTGGGCGCTGTCATCTACTTCCTGCACAAGAAAGGCAAGATCCCGTGTGGCCGTGCTGGGAAGCAGGACATGTAAGCGCTGCCACCTGTCCCCCAGGGGCCCGTGGGGCTGGGGGTGCTTGATATCACTCATGCTTCCCATCCCATTCCATCCCACTGCTCCAGCTGCTCCCTGCCCGGCACAGAGCGGGGTGGGAGCACGGCCTCGGGGGCTTTTCCAGCTTCCCACAGGGCACTGCCATGCAGGGAGGATTCAGCAGAGTGGTAGAGCAGCCAAGGGTCCCCTCCCTGGGCCGTCCAAAGCTTTCTGTGAGCTGGAGTCTCTTTGACCCAGCGCTCTGAGCCCTGGTCCCACTGCAGAGCATCCCCTGAGATGGAGCCCCAGGGCTCGGCCAGCCACGTGCCCTCCCGGCTATCACAAACGTGTCTCAAAAATTGTCACCTCCCTCCCCTAGCACAAAGCCAGAGGCCCGTAAAGACAAGATTGTAGTTGAAGTTAAGTCAGATAAACTTTCCGAAGAGGCGGGGCTCCTGCAGGGCGCCAACGGCGAGAAGAGAGCAGCAGCTGACCAGGTAGGACAGAGCGCCGGGCACTGCCCTTCCCGGGCCAGGGCCAGCTCAGGGCCGGGCCTGCACCCAGGTAATGCTTTGCTCCCCTCCTCCAGCACTGCCCACCCTGCACGGGCCTCCATCATCCATCAGCAGCGCTCTCTGGGGTCGTGGGAGGGAGGGGAGGGGACAATTCCTGGAGGTGACAAAGCTCTGCTCCCTGGCAGTGCCCACTGCCTGCCCTGCTTGGCTCTGCCTCCCTCAGTGGAGCAGCAGCCAGGCTCCCCAGGGGCCTAAAATGGAAAGATCTCTGGCCAGAAGGCAGAGCAGAGGCTGCAGCAATGGGTCCTCTGAGGCAGAGATCTTGGGATGAGTTTTTTGGGACACGTGCTTCCCCTCAGCTGGGATGGAGCAGCTTTTCACGGTGTCACTGCTGGGCCACCACTGTCCATGCCAGCCCCTGAGCCCACTGAGGTTTTATTTGTCTTTAGAGCCCCTGCCTGGCTCTGCACAGCTCACACTCCCCTCCCCTCCTCTTGGGGTGGGTGCTCAGCCACCCTGGGGTGCCCCAGCTGTCCCCCACCCCACTGTGAGTGCCACCACCCCACCTGCAGCAGAGGATTGGGTTTGTGTTCATCCCTAACCTTGTGTTTTCCCTCCCCCTTTCTCTTCTGAAGAGCGAGAAATACATCGATCTGAGAAACTAGAGAGGAAATCTCCTAAGTGCTTCTTCCTTCAAACCTTTCCTGCTCTTGGATTGCCTTCTCCCACCCCTGCTCCAGCCCCTGGGGAGCACGGCCAGAGACCCCCCCCCCCCGTGTGTCGCCGTGCTGGGCGTGCAGGGGACACCTCCCTGACTCACCTGGCCATTACCTCAGCCCTGGGCTTGCAGGTGTTGCCTTAGCAGCAAAGCTGGACTCGCTTTACTACTCCAGAGAAGCCACGGCAATATTAGGAAGAACTATATCCCATTAATCCCTACTTGGTGGAAGGATTTGAGGCTTTCAGGTAATCTGTTCTGTACATGTTGTGGGAAGGTTTTGATGCATTGTTTTTACCCTGACCTTGCTCAGAGAGGCTGGTGAAATTTGTTTTTTGGGATGTCTGAGGCACCTTAGCTGTAGTGGGTGCAGGTTGGAGGAGAGAGGAGTGGAAGGGGTGTGTGTTAGAGAAGTGTTTGCAGCTCTAAGAGGTTTTGAGTGCTTTGCTTTGTCTTTGAGCTGCTCCTGGGTCAGTTTATCCCAGCAGTGCTGTGATCCCACAGGAGGAGAGGACCTGGCAGAGCAAGGAAGGGGGGCCAATGTCCAGAAAGGTTTTAGGGTGTGTGGTTTTGGAGCTGTGCTGACCCGAGGGGCAGGGCTCCCCTCTCCCCTCTGAATTTGGTTTATTGTATTGCCCCAACAGGACCCAGAGCTCCCAGAGATTTAAATTCAATATTAGACAGGGCCAGTCAGTGACGTCTCAGGGTTTTTTGTGCTCAGCCAGTGCCAGCCCCAGGTCAAACTGCTCTCTGTGCTTCACTGGCACCTCTGGCCCCACGGTGAGCAGGGGAGATGGACAAGAACCTGCCAGAGCTTCTGTGCCAGCCCTCCCCTGCCTCATCCCAGAGGGACCAGCCCCTCCTGAGCTCTGCTGGCCACTTTGTCCCCTGGGTGTCCCAGCCCTGACCAGAGGGGAGCCGTCCTCGCCTGCTACACGTGGTGTCCAAGCAAAAGCTTTGGTTTATATATATATTTTTGTTGGATTGTGTGTACATTTCCAGGAGTTTTATTTCGGGTTTGTTTTTGGTTTTGTTTTTTTTTTTTTTTTCCTGTTTTGTCCGATACTTGCAAGGTTTTTTTTTTTTATATATGTGAAAATAAAGTACGGATTCAAAGCTGAGTGGTGGAGTTTGTTCCCATGGACAGAAGGGTGGGAAGGGCATTGCATAATCCCATGGAGCTTCCAGCAGGACCCAATTAATACACTAATTACTACCAATGCTAATAAATCTATTTATTCTAATAAATACTCCTAGTTTTAGGCTGTAATAGGTGATTATACGACTGGATCTTAAAATATAATATTGTAAATAGAATTTAATATTCGAGTTTATTGATGATTGTATTAACAGCTAATACCACTACTATAGATGCTAATGCCTCTAGGAGCTGATAATAAACATTAATAAACTAACGCTACTAATGAATAAAAACACCAACGTGCCCCTTCTCCTTTGGCCCCACCTCACAATAATGAATTAACTCCTGTGTCCTCATCTGAGCCCTTCATCCATTATTGGGGACTCAAATGACCTAAAGTAACCCCAATGACCTGAAGTAACCCCAATCAGGGCCCCGAGTGACCTCAAATGACCCCAATGACCTGAAGTAACCCCGCTCAGGGCCTCAAATGACCTCGAATGACCCCAAAGAGGGCCTCAAATGACCTAAAGTAACCCCAAGTAAATCAGTTTTGAGATTCAAATGACCTCAAGTAACCCCTGTGACCTCAAATGACCCCAATGACCTCAAGTAACCCCAATCAGGACCCCCAAATGACCTCAAGTAACCCCAGGTCTTGATTTGACCCCACAGTGGCTCCTTTAAGGGTTTTTTTTTTCCAAGTTCAGTTATCCCCCATGTCCCCAGTTACCCTCCCTGCCCTGTTTGTGGGTTCCCACTCGACCCCTGGGACCTGAGTGTCCCCCTTTGTCCCCAAGTCCCCTGGCCCCCAAATGTCCTGGGGGCTCAGCTGGGCCAGGGTGGCCCTGTAATGTTGGAGCCTGGATTTATTAGATCTACTTTGTATGTAAAATATTCATAATTTGTAATATATGAATAGGTATCAATGAATATTCAATTAACGTGTTCAAATATATAATTATTTTCTGATCTCCACAAATAATACACAGTATGTCCTAATAATTTTATTCTAGAGTTGTGATACATGTAATTCTGTGAGAATTGTGTGAGATATTTATTTATTTCCATAATTTCTATGCAGTAACTTTAAAAGTCTGCAGAATTCCCATGGATTCCCTTGGATTCTCTTCCTGGGTGGTAACTTCATGTCCTTCGTGGTCCTGATGGATTAGAGCCTTTATTCATTGATTCTCTCAGAATATGTTTAATTATTTTAATCTGTATATAAATATTTCCTGGCCTCTGTCAGTGGCCAGAATATAAATTTGAATTTAACAGATAATTGTGCTAATAATTATAAAATAACTCCAAAGGATCCAGGAGATTGAAATGCTGAAATATTTTTTTTCAGCACTTACAGAAGCACCACAACACACACACACCATCTGCTACAACAAAGGAAATTTTATTTAAAAATAAAACTTTGTTTCGTTTTCTTTCTTACTGACACAGGTGAATGAAATCCCAAACAAAGAAGCTCTTAGTGGGCAGCATACAAGGATGGAAACAATTAATAAATAACATTAGTATAACCTCTAAACATTAACAATGCATCTGCAAACAAAATGAGGACTTTAAACCAAGTGAACCTTAAAGCTCAGCTACTCTCTGTAAGAATATTTACCTTCTGTTTTTCCTTATTCTTTACAGATCTGAAAGGATTAAATACTGCTATTATAATTTTATATTAATGACACTATTATACTTTTTTTTTTAAAATATCTCGTGAAAATCTCAACATTTTTTAACACTGATATTTTACAAATTGGTATTTGTCAACCGTGAGAAAGAACAACAGTAACAGCAGTTCTTCCTCCACTGGGAATTTCAAACCAAGAAGATTTCTAGGAGGAACTTTAAAAATAAATGTCCTTATTCCCCACTAATCTTTAAAGTGGCACCTTTGAGAAGGTGCCCTGGGAGTTGCATTTTTTCTTGCTCAACTGAAAAAAAAAAAAAAAAAAAGAACAAAAACCCAACAAAGCAAACCACATTTACAGTAACGAGCCTGCCTCAGGATTAGCTACAGTAATGTCACCAGTCTGGTGCAGGAGGCCACATGCTGGGCCCTGAGCCTGCCTGGCCCCTGGGGCAAGGACATGCACAAAAAAAAAAAAAAAAAAAAAAAAAAGGGAAAGATTTGGGATTCCTGCTCGGCTCTGGACACAGGAAATCACCTGGATCCTGCTCAGGAGGGCACGTCCCACTTCCACAGCTCCTGCTCCTTGGGGAGTGTTTCCTGCTCCTTGGGGAGTGTTTCCTGCTCCTTTTGGGAGTGTTTCCTGCTCCTTTTGGGAGTGTTTCCTGCTCCTTTTGGGGACAGCTGGAGGACAACCCCAGCATTTTTCACCCCAACCAACCTCACCCCACGCTCCTGACTTGGCCCCGAGCTCGGCACAGCACCAGTGCAGACACAGAAGCTCCACGGCTGAAATGCTACAAAACACAGTGTCAGAGTCCAAGGGAGCACTGCCCATCTCTCCTGCTCTCCTGTTCACCCCTTCCCAAAGCACTTTTGGTGCTGCTTGTCCAGCTCTGCTCATTTTCCCAGAGGGGATTCTTGGATCCAGCCTGGCCATGCAGCATCCCCTTAAGAAAGGCACTAGACATTTGGGTTGTTTTTCCTTTTTAAAGTAGCATCAGAAAGTTAGTTTTCTAAAGAATAAAGAAGAAGGAGGTGAAGGGAAAGAAGAGCAATCAATCTTGGGCTTAGAAAGAACAAGAAAAATCCACTGGGCAGTGCCTGGATTGAGCTGGCAGAGCACAGCCACAAGACATGGCCAGGGCTCTGCTGCCCTCAGTGGAATCAGCAAATTCTTAACGTGTCTAAGGAAGAAAAGGCAAGACTTAAGTTTCTTAAATCAGTTTGAGACATAAACAAGTGCACAGAAAGGACACATGCAGAGAAATCAGTGATACATGCCACAAAGATTGCTCTCTCTAATCTCTAATACCCAGAACAAAACCCACAGGAACATCTCTTGGCACATAGACCCCAAAGACAGGCCTGCAACAGCTCTGCCAAGCAGGATTTCATGGAAATTACAGCCAGCCTGCCCTGAGGGGCCTGGAGGGGACAGGGAGTCACTGGTCTGGTCACACACACTGGGCAGGACAAGAGTTAAGGCTTTGGAGCTGGCTGGACTCAGCCCTTGCTCAGCCATGGCAGGAGCCACACGGAGCTCCCAGCAGGGCAAACACCAAGGGCTCCAAACCAGCACAGAGCCGAGTGGCAGTGTGAGAAAGAGGGAAAGAAACCCCTCACTAAAGGGTTTGCACCTGGGTCTCCAGGACTAGGGACTGTTTGGCTGCTCAGGCTCCCCAGTGTGACACAACAGCCACAGCTGTCCCCAGCTCCTGCCTCAGCAGCACCCTGCTCCTCCAGAGGCTCCCACATGCCCAGAACATCCCACAGGGAGCAGGGCTGGCACCCCTGGCAGCTGCACTGGGGGCACAGGACGAAGAGCAGCTCTTCTTCCTCTTCTTCTGACCCCTCCTTCCCCAGGGCTGTGCCCCTGTGCCCTGCAGAGCACCCTGCCCGCTGCCCCCAGAACAGCAAAGGCTGGGGTCTCAGAGCATGGCAGGAGATCTCCTCACCCTGTCTGAGAGTGTTTTCTCCACTACAGAAAGGAGGGGAGTAAAGAGAGACAGTTCAGCCTGCCTGGAAGCCACTGCAGCAATTCAGAAAGCTGTAGGTCTAGAGAGAAATCTCAACTTTAATAAAAAACCCACTTTCTTCTCTGCTAAGGCTCGTCAAGGCCTCTCTGCCAACTGCAGCCATCTGGCCCAGCCTCTGGATTCCTCAAAAGGCCAAACTGCACCCAAGTGCCAGAATCACTCCAGCAATATTCCAGCCTGGTGACCTCTGCTGACCTCAGGGAGATGCAAATAATGCTGGACATGCTCCAAAGGCCGAGAGCCTCTCAGGCTGTGATCTGTCTGTGCCTCCTGGATCTAAATCCTCTCCAAAGGAACCATCCACTCCTCCAGTATGAACAGAATTAAGTAGCTGAGTAGGCAAGTCAGGTTTTTCCAATGCAACAGCTGAGTTCTGACCTTTAAAACCATGTAATCACAAGTACAGAATTTTTTTCCCAGGTCTGTTTTAACACCAGACCTGGAAATACCTCAGAAAAATGGAAATGGAAAGGAGAGCCCCCATGTTGTTTGGATAGCCATGCAGAGAGCTGCTGCATTTCTGTGACTGCAAAGCAGGTGAGATTCCAACAAACACATCAGCTGCATCTACCAATTCCACAAAACACCCTGGCACGACGATGGCTCCTGCAAAAGCTCCCTGGAGGAATGAGTGTGAAGGCCACTAGTCTCCAACAGCCACCATGCAATGAAGATAAATAAAACATCCAATTTACCAGGTGCAACATTCCTAGGGAAGAGCAATGGGAGTGTCCAGTGACGGCTGCTCCAGCCTAGCAGGGCCACAAATCAAATTTGAGCACTGAAGCACGAAATGCTCAAGGCTAAGAGAGGAGAAGCAGCAGCCCCAGTTCTTTGCTCTTGCTCAAATTCTTTGCTCCCTCTCCCACCCCTCAGAACCACGCCAAGCTCCTCCAGCTGCTGGAATCTGGTGCAAGAGCACAGACACACACACACAACAGAGAAATCCAACTCCCAGCACTGCCAGGATCAAAACCCCTGACAGAAGCTCATCCTGCTATGTCCAGGCAGCAAGGGAGGACTGGAATCAGAAGCCATAACTGCTATTATTACAGGCAAGAGGGACACACCACGGCCAACAGGAGGCAATCAAACGATTCTTCCAAGGTCTCCTATAAATTCCCAGCAGAAAGTGACCTCTCAGCTTCTCTAAAAAGCCTGAGCCAGACACACAGCAGCGAACAGATCCAAACCTAGTACCATGAACCACAGGACACACCACACCAACCTCGAGACTTTGTTTCTCTGAGCATCCACTTAAAATTCACAGCACGAAACAACTCCCCCCCAGCCTCCAGGGCATCAGCTCGGGGATCCCTTGTCACGACATCTTTGTCTACCAACACCCTGGAAATAAATCTGTTCTCTCAGACAAGAGGTAGGGGTAAAGGACTCCAAGACACACACTGTATAAAACACCGCTCCGCTCTGTTCCATCCCACTGCTTTGAAATCTGGAACCACAAAAACCTGATAACTGATTCTCTTAAAGAGGCAGGACTGACCTCAGCACGAAGTCTCTAAAGGAACCCCCTTCCCCTTTGGTGCACAGCTGGGCAGCAGCTGCCCAGGCAGTTGGTCCACAGCAGCTCAGGTGTGGAGGTGCCCGTGTGCTATGTGGCCACGTGCGCCGGGGACGAGATGGACACGAACTCCCGCAGAATATTCTTGGCCATCTCAATATTGTTATGTGCAATGACCAGAGCTTTCTGAATGTCCTGATATGAGTAGCCTTGGCTCATGAGGTTCTCGATCTCGCTGGAGAGGTGCAGGGAGGAGCTGGCCCCGCTGCTGGCTCCTCCTGCTTGGCAGCTGCCGGCTTTCCGCTCCGAGTTTATCCGCCGGGGCAGTGGCTTTGGCGGCCGCTCGGGGACTTGGGAGCCGTCCGAAAAACCTGCAGGGAGGAACAAGTGCATCACTTCAAGGAAAACATCTGGAAATTTTGCTTGGAACAAAGCTGAGATGACATCAGGGGGATAAATGGCACTTCAAAAAGCTGTCACTGAGCTCTGCCACTTTCTCCAACCCTTTTATCCTCCTTCCCAACCTGCTCAGCTTCCCCTCCTGTGTGCAAAAACAGCTGTGCAGGTTTGTCTTAATTAGCAGGGCTCATCAGGCGCATTTATTAAGATAAAACCATATAAAAAATGACATAGGATCTCTGTGTGTAAGCAGAGCTCAGATATCAGCCTTAGAATCAGAAAAAATGACACAGTGAATATTCAATTCACCAGACATCCCATTTCCTTCCAGAGTCAGACAGAACCCCTCAGTTTAAGTGTGCAGAGGCTGCTCCCTCATCTCTGTGTGCACAAACCCAGTCCCAACTCAGCCACCACAATTGCTTCAGCAACTGAATTATGCTCTCTGAAGGGCCAGCAACTGAATTATGTTCTCCTCTTCCTCTGCTGAAGCTCTCCCTGCCTAATGGCAGATCAATAAAGCTCAGCCTGTTCTGCTTTTCCCTGAGTCATTCTGATGTGACACTGCCCTGCAGCCTCATCATGCACTGCTGGGAAGAGGAAATAACAGCCAATAAACCAAACAAGTCACCAAACTCTCCAAGGAAAAAATACATTGTTTAATGTGCTCATCCAGCATCTGACCATTTCTGAGTTTTAACCTCCCGTATCAATGCAGAAAGCATTTTTTGCCAATCACAGGAAACTCTTTTGTGGGGATATTTGACATCACCTTAAAGAAATCTTAGAGAAAGATTTATTTGTCTCCTGGAAAAAATCCTCAAGGCACCCTACAGAGTTTTCTGGCAGCAGAACTGGAGTACAACAGACAAATCATGTCCACACAATCCCTTTTTAAGAGTGAGCAATGCAGCCTGCTCAGAGGAGCAGCATTGTGGGGCCTTTCTGAAAAACTTGCACCAAAAGCCCTAAAACAGAGAAGGCTCTTCAGGAATCAGATTCCCTCAAGCTTCCTCACCGACCACAGTTCAGTCCAGCTCCCTCATCTTCAGAATTCAAGTTTCTCACACATAAAAAGCTTTTTGTACATGTGAGAAAAAGGTCGGCCCACTCCTCTGCCCCAAAGTGCCTTCTGGAATAGCTGTTTCAGCTTGAGCTGGATCAAGTTTCACAGACCATGGGTCAGTCTGAAAGGACAACTACTAAGACAGTTATTTTGGTAAATCATTAATTAAAACTGCAGGGTCCAGCTCCTGAGAGCATAAATCTGCCAAGATGAATCCCACAGCAGTCAGGCTTGCCTGCACCAGTGCCTTGCTTCCCACAGCAGTAACAATCAGCATTTTCCACATTTTCCATTTTCCTACCCCTAAAGCAGGACAACAGCAGTGTTATTTCAAGGCTGTAGAAACACAGTGTCAATGATTAAGCTCAGTACTTCATCTGGGAGGGGGGCTGGGACTTGCTCTGTTCCTTTTTTATCCCTTTCAGCCAAATTCTACAGACACAGGAACAGATTTAAAAAGTGAAACAGGGAGGTGGGGCAAAAATAACAAACTTTTCTGCACTGGGAAACTCTTCTCTGTGCTAAGGAAGGTCAGGGATATGGAATGGTGAAGCAGGAAAAGAGAAGACTCACTGGGGGAAGGGGTTCTGGGTACAGGAGGTTCCAGAAGGAATAAGAAACTCATTCCTCCTCCTTGGCAAATCCCCAGCACATTCAGACTGAAAACCCCCAACAGGAAGAGTTTCAGAGCTTCCTTAAGAACTGCTGAGCAGGGAATAAGTCAATCATTATTCAGAAAGGCTCTCGGAGGCACGAGGCTTTAGTTTTTCCCTCAGAGAATGTGCCTTGCAGCCAGAAGGACACGATGTCCTCTATTCCCCAGGGACAAAAAGCTGACCTTGCTGAGCCACTGGTCCCTGCTCAGAGGAGCTGAGAGCATCGTGCAGAACAATTGTGCCATCTGCAGGCACTGGCAGAGCCACAAACCCTGCCAGGCCAGCCCTGGATCTTCCACTTGGAACAGGGACACAATCCCTGAATGCTCTGGGTTGGAAGGGACCTCAAAGCTCATCTCCTTCCACACCCTGCCATGGGCAGGGAAACCTTCCACTATCTCAGGGTGCTCCAACCCCAAATCCAACCTGGCCCTGGACACTTCCAGGAATGGGAAATCCTGTCTCACACCCTGGCACAAAAATATTCTGTGCCCTGTAGGAAACAGTGGTGTAAGGAATCTACTTTAAGCTGAAAAAAAGCTTTTCCTAAATGTGACTTCAGTGTGATTTGCAAGCTTGGGGATCAAATGACCATGGCAGCACATTCCAAGCTATAAATCGAACAAAAGCTAAAATAAATCAAACAAAATACCCAAGAACCAGTGGTAATTCTGCCTCATAAACCCGATTTTACACCTTCCATCCAAAATCCTCAGTGAGTGACACAAGTTTCAAAGATGCAGAGGCAGCCACCAGCACCAAGAAGACACCCAGGAGCTCTCTGACCTGTGACAGGGTCGTTTTCCAAGGACATTCGGCTGAAGGCAGGAGTGGCATTGGAGATATCAGACAGTGTGCGACGAGCAATGGCAACGGGCAGCGGTGGCTTGGGGACATCGTAGCCATCTTCTTCATTCTCTGACTCCTCAGGGCCATTGCTGGCAGTGGCTGCTGCCAGGTTCCCTTCATCTGGAACAGGAGGCACGTTCTGAGCTCTGGGGCTGAGCTGTCTCTCAAGGCAGACTCTGCTCCATCGTTTTTCAAACACTGACAGGACGCAGAATTTAAGTTTTGCTGCTAAAACCTCACATTTAATGGCAGCTCTTTCCACAAGGGTTAAAAATACTTGATAGATGCAGTGTGCATGCACAGACTCATATTTCCACGTACATCCCAGCTATTTTCAACAACACAAACAAATGTAATTCCTTTAATTCAGCCTAAAATGCTGTTCCACTGGGAGCAATTCATTGTACCCCAGTTCCTCAGCTGCTTTTTAGCACACCCACTCACCAGAAGTGTTGACAGCCTCGAAAGCAGAGGATGCTGCTTGGGAGTGAATGTTGTACATTGCTTCATACATGGAGCCCTCGGGCTGCTGGTCACAGTCCAAAACTCTGAGGGAGAGAACACATTCTCCTTCACACAGGTGGCAGTGGCCACCACCTCCACCCTGTCTCTGTGACAGTTTGTGCACAGCTTCTTGTTTCAAGGTGAAATCACCACTGCTCTGTGAAGTATTTGTTCTAGAAAATGCTCTATTAGTGTTTATTGCTGTACAGCACCTCAGTTTAAAAGACTTAAAATGATACCAGCAAAACTGATACCACCAAAAATTAGATTTTAATAAGAGTTTTGAATTTCAGTTGTTTCTGCTCTCAAAAGGTTCTTGGCAGGGAGAGTGGGAAGGAAGGGGATATCTGAGTCCTTTAATACTGTACAAGGACTCTGTACAAGAGCAGTGGTCACATTTCCTTTATTGCTATTTTAGTCAAGATCTGGTGAATATCACTGGGGGAATTCAGAAATCTGAGCAAGCAAAATTCCCACCCTGATGTCCCAAATGTGCTGTCCCAGAGCTGGGAGCAGGAAGTGCAAAACCAGGCAGAATCTCACCGTAAACTCTGAGTCATTTCCAAAGGCATTTTGAGCTCTGGTTTTTGCACAGCAGGACCTGGAGGCACCACAGGCAGGGAGGATGGTGACATGTATTCAGTGTCCTCATCGCTCTCAGACTGCTCCCCAGGAGGCAGTTTTGGTACAGGCAGTGGTCTGGAAGCAGGAGAAACAAGATATAAAACATTTACACCAAATCTAATTAATACCAAGGTGCCTTTTACAATCCACAGTCACCTCACAGCAAGTCTGTCTAAAGAAATAATTTGGTTTTCAGGATGTAGCCCACAAGGTCACATCAGCACAAGGTCATGATGCAAAAGGAAGTGACAATATCATGCACATTTACATCACACAAAGCCCCACTCAAAAGTGAATTTATTAAAGAGCTGATGGCAACTGGAGCCTGATTCCTACTGACACAGCCCAGGAGAACTCCCACCACTCCCCACAGCTCTTTGGGATGTTGACTTCAGCTGCTTTCTCTAAATTGTGTTTTGAATCTGTCAGAGTTTAAAACTAAGACTGAAAGAGTTGTGCCAGCTCTGTCCCTGGCAGCAGCACCCTGCAATTCCCACTCTGTAAGTATGAAAAATCCCAACAGACCTGGCAGCTAAGGAGTAAATGGCATTGGCAGAAGAGGAGGGCTTGATTTTGGGGTGTTCACACTCTGAGGTTGCTGCTGGACCACTGCTGGAGCTCTGGAAGACAAAATTCCAAACCAGGAATCAGAAACAAGACATGTCCCAGTGTAGCTGCAATTCAACAGCCTCTGTGGGAATGAAGCATCCTCATTTATTCCACAGAATTTACTGACACCTCAGAAACCTAGGAATTCTCTCAAAGCTTTCTCTCAGTGAGGACATTGCAGGGATTTTCCTATAGGAAGAACTTCATGTTTTGAGATTCCAAAGGCCTTGGCAAATTCAGCTGAAACAGGCCAAAGTGGGAGCCAAGAGGAAAAGGATGCAGACAAGCACACATATTTGGAGACAGGATAACAACTGTGCACGTGCCATTTTCTTAGAAAATCTGGCTAAAAATGTCCTTGCTTTCAATTTTAGAAAGCCGGAAGCAATAGAAGGAAAAATTAGGGAAATGGGATCAAGGAAAGCAAAATTGCCTGCAATTTCTTTTAGAGAACAAAATGTTGGACTACTCAGTCCTCTGGTAACAGTGTCCTGCAGGTGAACAAACTGAACTCAGATTTTACCCAAACTCCTCACAGCTGATGTGTGTAGGTTTCTCAGGGCTGAAAAGCCAGCAGAGTAAATCAGACTTTTTCAGATACCAACAGAGAACATTCTCAGCTTTTCAACACTGAAAAGTGAACAGTGAAAGGTGAACAATCATCAGGCAATTGTGGCTCATGACTGCTGAAAGTGGGATTGCTAAAACTGTGATTTCGACCTTGTTCCCAAGAGGAATGAGCGCCTGGAATTCACCAAGTTCTTCCCACCTCTCCCATGACAAAATCCCACTCAGTGTGAAAAGAGAGTACCTTTTCTCCCAGATTACCTCCAACCTCACCACACCTACTCACCCCCGGGTTGTCCAGGCTGAGGGTGCTGCCGAGCCGGAGGCTCTCAGCCCTGGATTCCACCTGCGAGGGCAGCGAGAAGGGAAGCGAGTGCCTGTTGGACAATTCCCTGCCAGCCCAGGGCTCTGCCGTGCTCACGGCCACCGCCGGGGCTTTGGGCATGGGCCTGCCTGGCCACAGGTCGCCCTGGCGGCTGGAGGGCAGCGGGGGTGGCTTGTCCCTGCTGGGACAGTCGCCGGGCGTGCAGGGCAGCGGGCGGCGCTGCGGGCGGCTCTCGGTGCCCAGGGAGGGCGGGCGGTCCGGCGGCGGCGGCGGGGGCAGGTCCCGGAGCGTGGGTGGGATCGGCAGAGGTTTGTCCTTGTGCAGAGCACCAGGTGCGGCCTGCGGGCAGGAGGAATGTCAAACAGCGCTCGGCAGAGGTGGCACAGCCAGGAAAGATAAACAGGAGGGAGGTGGGGGCAGCAGGGAGAGTTTTGGGGGGTTTTGTTTGTTTTTACAAGGAATTTTCTCGGAGGATGTGGAGATATCTCCACGCCTTCTGCACAGGCTTGAGGAGATAACACAGAACTATGTGCACTGCAGCCAGGCTCTGAACACCCCAGATTCCTCTTCTTGAAGGAAAACATGAGCCTACAGCAGCTTAGATTGCATTCCAAACAGAGCCTCCCCATTATTTAAGAAAATTATTCAATTGTGGGTTATTTGTACAAGTTAACATTCATCAGTCAGTGATGAGTATTCACAGAAATAGGTATTTTCTTCTGCCTGAACTTTCCTAATTCCATTATTTCATCTGAACCAGATGAAGAACTGCTGCTGCATCTCAAGAACCATTAACTTAATGCCACAAAGATCATCCTACTGCCTTCTGCTGATCAATCAGAAAGCCACTTCATTTCTCCCAGTCACACACATTGAACTCCTTCCTTCATATGCTTGATATAAAAATGAAAAGTTGGGAGAGAAATATGATACCTTCTGTATTAGCTAGAACAAAATATGAGGAAAATCCAAAGGGAGCAAGGATTGAGGCTGAAAAACAGAGAATATGAAGGTAGTAGTAATAATTTGTAATAATAATGATGCCAGTCACCCTAAGGGAGGACAGAGAGAAGAGGAATAAAATACTTGGGGATGTCAGAGAGCACTTGCTGGGGTCACCCAAACGCCAGCTGAAGGAAGGGGAAGGAGCTGTGCCTGACCTTGGAGGTGGTGCCAGGGCTGGAGGCCCCAGGGGGGTTGGCCACTCTCTGCTGCAGCAGGTCCAGCCGGGGGGGCACGGGAGGGAGGGCGGCCTGAGGAGCCACCGAGAAGGGCGAGGGAGGACGTTCCACCTGAGACAGGAGAACGGCAAGTCAGCACATGGCTCAACACACACAGTTCCTGCTCTCTGCAGAGGCTTCCCACCTCTACTGGTGACAAATTGCTCTGTGAGTAACAGCTCACAGGAATGAAGCCAGTGGCCAGCACTGCAGCACCTGGAGCAATCCAAGCTGAGCTGTGAGATATCACTGAAATGCACACTTGGAAACAAACACAAAGCACGCTGTTCTGATGGAGTGACAAACCTGGCCCGGTGGGCCCTGAGCAGGGACAAGCTGCTTTTCAACACCAGAGGGCACGATCTGCTGCAAAACCTCCTGTCCCTGTGCAAACTGCTTTCACCACAGAGCACTGTGTACCAAAGCCTCCATTTTTGTCCCTGGAAAGCTGCTTTTCCACTTAACAAAGCAGCACAATGCCTGTTATACTCTTTACTTTCTCTTTTTACAATCAAAGCTAATGCTGTTTGAATTTGAAAAGCTTCAGGTATGTCTGAGCTCACTAAAGCCAACAAAATACCAACATTGACTGGATGTGACACCAAGAAAATTGCTTTGCTTCCTCAAAATATGTATAAAAAGCCCTCCAAAAATAGTGTTTACTGATTAGCACATTATTTCACAGGATGGAAGATAAAGGGAAATAAGACACCGGGTAAACCAGAGGCAAAGATTCATTCTGACCAGGAAATGCAGCTTATTTTAGTTGATTCAGCTATTAAAAATTAGCCAAATTCAAGCCCACTTCCCTATGCAGTAAAAAAAATGCAACAGCAGCAATCAGATTTTGAAATGAGAAATGAAAAAGCCATGCAGGGATCCACAAAGAATATCTGTACACAGCTCCTGGAGGGAAGCAGCACTGATGGCAGAGTTATCACACCTTTATTAGACAGATTTATCACCCACCATATAAAAAGGTGACAGCCAAATTGAGTTCCTCAGCAGAACAGCCAGGGTTAGGGTTAGGGTTAGGTGACGATTAGGGGTTAGGGGATAGGGCTTAGGGCTTAGGGCTAGGGTTTAGGGCTTTGGGCTTAGGGCTAGGGCTAGGGATATGGCAAGGGCTAGGGCTAAGGCTAGGTTTAGGGGTTAGGGGTTAGGGATTAGGGTTAGGGGTTAGGGGTTAGGGGTTAGGGGTTAGGGGATAGGGCTTAGGGCTTAGGGCTAGGGCTAGGGCTGGGGTTAGGGTTAGGGTTAGGGTTAGGGCTAGGGTTAGGGTTAGGGTTAGGGTTAGGGTTAGGGTTAGGGTTAGGGTTAGGGCTAGGGCTTTGGGCTTGGGGCTTAGGGCTTAGGACTTTGGGCTTAGGGCTAGTGCTAGGGAAGGGCTAGGGCTAGGTTTAGGGGTTAGGGGTTAGGGGTTAGGGCTGAGGCTGGGACTAGGGCTAGGGCTAGGGTTAGGGTTAGGGTTAGGGCTAGGGTTAGGGTTGGGGTTAGGGTTAGGGTTAGGGTTAGGGTTAGGGTTAGGGCTAGGGTTAGGGTTAGGGCTAGGGTTGGGGTCAGGGTTAGGGTTAGGTGAGGGTCAGGGGTTAGGGGTTAGGGGTTAGGGGTTAGGGGTTAGGGCTTCGGGCTTAGGGCTTAGGGCTTTGGGCTTTGGGCTTAGGACTAGGGAAGGGCTAGGGCTGGGGTTAGGGTTACAGTTAGGGTTAGGGTTAGGGCTAGGGCTTACGGTTAGGGTTAGGGTCAGGTGAGGGTCAGGGGTTAGGGATTAGGGGATA